CCATTTGTATATTTTCTCTGGAGAAATGTGTGTTCAGATGTTTTGCCCATTTTAAAATGAGGGTTCCTTTTATTTGTCTTTTTATTGTTGAATTCTAAGAGTTTTTTTTATTTTCTGGACACAAGTCTTTAATCAGTAATTTGTAAATATTCTCTCTCATTCTGTAGATTGGCTTTCACTTTTTTGATGGCATCTTTTGAAGCACAAAGGATTTTAATTTATAATATCCAGTTTGTTTCTTTTGATGTCATATCTAAGGACCTATTGTCTAATCTAAGGACACAAAGCTTTACATTTACAATTTTTTTCTAAGAGTTTTTGGTTTTAGCTCTTACATTTATATCTTCCTTCACTTTGAGTTAGTTTTTGTTATGGTGCAAAGAGGGTACCAGGGGTCAAATTTTACCCTTTTGCATGTGGATATTCAGTTGTCCCAGCACCACTGGTTGAAAAGAGTATTCTTGCCTCCATTGAATTATCTTGGCACTTTCTTAAAAAATCAATTGACAGTGTTAGGTTTTTTTTTTCTCTTGGATTCCAGATCTGTATGTCCAGATCTGTATCTATTCCCCATAGATCTGTATGTCCATCCTTTTGCCAGGACCATGTTCCTTAAGATTTTCAATATGCAAGATCATATAATCTTAGTAGAGGTAGTTTTACTTCTTTCTTTTGAATGGATGTCTTTTATTTCATTTCCTTGCCTCATTTCCCTGGCTATAATACTTCAATACAATGTTGAATAGAATAGGCAAGAGCAGACATCACTGTCTTGTTCCAGATCTTAAAGAGAAATCAGTCTTTCACCATTAAGTATAAAGTTAGCTGCGGATTTTACACAGATACTCTATCAGGTTGAGGAATTTCTTTCCATTCCAAGTTTGTTGAGTACTTTATCTAGAAGAGGTGTGGAATTTTGTTAAAAGTTCTGTTACGCTCTTTAAAGGTTTACCTGTTGATTATGGCTGTGCTGGGCCTTCTCTAGCAGCAGTGCACAGGTTTCTCATTGTGGTCGCTTCCGTTGTGGAGGACGGACTCTAGGCACGCTGGCTTCCTTTCTTGTGGTTCACAGGCTCCAGAGTGCAGGCTCAGTAGGTAGCCTAGTTGCCCCAAGGCGTGTGGGATCTTCTCAGACCAAGGATTGAACCCTTGTCCCTTACCCACTGACAGGCAGATTCTTAATCACTGGGCCACCGGGGAAGCAGTGTTAAATGTTCTTTCTGGTCTGTTGAGATGATCATGGGTTTTGTCTTTTATTCAATTGATATGATAAATTACATTAATTGATTTTCTGATGTTAAACCAATGTTGCTTTCCTAGGATAAATTCCACTTTGTCATAGTGTCTAGTCTTTTTTACATATTACTAGATTCTCTTTGGTAGTGCTTTGTAGAGAATTTTTGCATATTCACAAGAGCTATTGGTCTGAAGGATTTTTTTTTTTTTTTCTTGTGATGTTTTGTCTGATTTTGGTATAAGGGGAATACTAACCGCATGGTGCAGCAGTAAAGAATCCTCCTACCAATGCAGGTCAAGCAAGAGACTCCGATTTGATCCCTGGGTTGGGAAGATACCTGGAGTAGGAGATGGCGACCCACTCCAGTATTCTTGCCTAGGAATTCCCACGGTCAGAGGAACCTATTGTCATAGTCCATGGGGTCAACAGAATTAAACACAATTAAGTGACTGAGTGCACACACACACACAACCTCACAGAATGAGTTGGAATTCCTTGATCTTTTATTTTTTACTTTTGGAAGAGTTTGTGAGTAATTGGTAATAATTCATTTTAAAGTTTGGTAGATTCACCAAAAGTCTAAACTAGGAATTTTCTTTTTAAGGTTTTTTTTTTTAAAGCTTTTTAAAGTTTGTTATTCCTAACTGAATTGCTTTACTTGTTATAGTTCTATTTATATTTTTCATTTCTTCCTGAGTCCATTTTGGTACTTTTTGTCCTTAAGAAATTGTCCACTTCATGGAATTTCCTGGCTGTCCAGTAGTCAGGACTCCATGTTCTCACTGCAAAGGGCTGGGTTCAGTCTCTGATCAGGGAACTAAGATCCCAGAAGCTGTATGGTACAGCCAAAAAGAAATTTTTTTTTTTAATTTAGAAAAATTTTTACAAAGAAGAATTTGCCCATTTCATCTAAGCTATATAAATTGTTGGAAAATGACTGGTGATAGTATTCCCTTGTAATCCTTCTCATTTCTGTTAGGCTTGTAATAATGACCCCTCTTTAATTCCTTTTTCTCTTGGTCAGTCTAGCTAAAGATTTGCCAGTCTTATTCATCTTTTCCAAGGATCATCTTTTAGTTTTTTTTAATTTTATCTATTGTTTTCTATTCTCTATTCAATTAATTTCTGCTCTAATCTTTCCTCTACTTGCTCTGGGTTTAGTTTGCTCTTTTTTTTTTTTTCATCGTTAAGGTGGAATTTTAGATTTATCTGAGATCTTTCTCCTTCTTTAACCTAGGCATTTACAGCTATAAATAGTCCAGGTAGCACTGCTTTAGCTGCATCCAATAAGTTTTGGTATGCTGTGCCTTTGTTCTTATTCACTCAAACTAATTTCCCTTCTGATTTATTATTTGGAAGTTTGTTTCTTAATTTTCATATATTTGTGACTTTCTTAACTTTCTGTTATTAATGGCTAATTTCATTCCTGTGTGTCAGAGAACACACAGTTGTATAATTTAAATTTATTTAAGTTTATTGAGGCTTATTTTATGGTCTAATTTATAGACAAAATTTGTTTATTTTGCAGAATGTTCTGTGTACACTTGAGAAGAATGTGTATTCTGCTGTTTTTGGATGGAGAGTGCTATCGATGTCTGTTAAGTCATTGGTTTAGTGTTGTTCAGGTCTTCTTGTTTCCTTGTTGTACTGTCTCCTTGTTCTATCCATTGTTGAAAGTGGGCTGTTGAAGCTTCCAACTATTATTGTTACACTATATATTTCTTCTTTCAGTTCTGGCAGTTGTTGCTTCATATTTTGGGGGCTGTGTTGTTAATTGCATATCTGCAGATCTGGTATATCTTTCTGATGGATGGACCCTGTTGTCATTATGAATTGTCCCTCTTTAGGGCTAGTTTTTTGTGTTAAAGTCTATTTTGTCTGATACTAGTAGAACCACTCCAGCTTTCTTATGGTTGCTGCTTGCAAAATACAACTTTTTCTTTCCTTTTCTCTTTTTACTTTCAACCTATTTGTATCTTTGAATCCAAAGTATACTTCCTGTAGGGCATATATAGTTGGATATTGATGTTTATTCAGTTTGGTCATTTTTGTCTTTTGATTGGATTATTAAATCCTTTTACATTGAATATTATTTCTGATATGTTAGGATGTACATTTGCCATTTTACTTTTGTATGTGTCAAGTCTTTTTTGTTGTTATGTTTCCCTATTCCTCCTTTAATGTTTCCTTTTACAATAAGTGAATTTTTTTAGCATAGCATTTTAATTCTGTTGATATTTTAAACTTTTGTTTTTTATTTTCTTAGTGTTTTCTCTAGGACTTATCATATACATCTTGTCTTAGCAGTATCTAAGACATATTAATTTAATTTCAAGGAGATACTGGATATCCTCTGTATCCGGTATATCCTATATATCTCTATTTTTCTTCCACTTTCTTGTAATATTATCATACATATTACAATTTGTATATATATTATATATGCAACAATACATTGTTAATTATTGCTTTATGTAATTTTATGTCCTTTAAAGAAGCTGAGAACAGTATATATTTACAGATTTTGTTATACATGTTTTCTAATTCACCATTTCTGGTTCTCTTCATTCAAGATTCTCTTGAATCTCTGTGGATTCAAGTTAAAAATCTTACTTATTTTCTTACTCCATACAGCTTTGTTCCCATCCACCTGCTTTGTGTTATTATTGTTACTGTTCTATATGTTATAGGCCCAACAATACAATTATATATTGTTTTACACAATTGCTTTTTTTAAAAGATTTATTTATTTATCTTCGGCTGGACTGGGTCTTTGTTGCTGCACTCGGCTTTCTGTAGTTGCAGCAAGCAGGGTAAGCAATGTCTTTATTTTGTCGTCATTTTAAAAGATGGTTTTGCTGGATATAAGATTCTTGGTTGATAGTTTTTCTCTTTCAGTATTTGCATGTGTCATCTCACTGCATTTTGGCCTTATTATTTCTGATGGGAAGTGAGTTGCTTATCTTTGTGGGCTCCCCTTGTATGTGGTGAGTCACTTTTCTCTTTGTTGCTTTCAAATTTTTCTTCACGTCTTCAGAATTTTTAGTATGATTGCCTCGGTGTGAATATCTTTATGTTTTCCTACTTTCAATTTGTTGAGCTTCTTAAATGTGTTGATTAATCTTTTTCAACCGTTACTTCCTCAGGTATTTTTTCTGCTCTTTTCTCTCACTTCTCATCCTGATACTCCTATTATGTGTATGTTGGTGTGCATAATGATGTCCCATATATATATTTTTTGAGGATTTTTCTTCACTCTTTTTTATTTCTGTTCTTTGAATTGCATAATCTTTACTGCTTATCTTCAAGTTTGCTGATTATTTCTTCTGTGAGTTCAGATCTACTCTTGAAAATTTCAAGTAAGTTTTTCATTTCAGTTATTGTATTTTTCAATTTCAGGATTTTCATTTTTTTTTAATAATTGCTCTTTTTTGATATTCCTTTTTTGATGAAACATTGGCATACTTACTTTCACTTTTTAGTATGGCTTCCTTTAGTTCTCTGAAGATACTGATAACTGCCTTGAAATCTTGGTTTGTTCTATCTGATATGTGTCCTTTCACAGACAATTTCTGTTGGATGCTTTTTTACCCAACTTTTTGTTTCTTTATACGTCTCATAATTTTTTGTTGAGAACTGGACTTCTAAAGTAATATACTGTAGCAACTCTGGATACTGATTTTCTCACCCCTTCCCTGGTGGCTCAGATGGTGAAGAATCTGCCTGCAGGGGTTCGGATCGCGAGTCCGCGCCGCAGCGGGCACCACAGTCCAGAGCGATGGCGGTGGTCGTCCGAGTGGTTTATTGGGCTTGTAGCCTCAAGCATCTTGAGCTCAAGAAGAAGTTAGAAGATGAGTTCCCCAGCCGTCTGGACATCTGCGGTGAGGGGACCCCCCAGGTCACTGGCTTCTTTGAAGTGTTCGTAGCAGGAAAGCTGGTTCACTCCAAGAAGGGAGGCGATGGCTATGTGGACACGGAGAGCAAGTTTCTGAAGCTGGTGGCCGCCATCAAAAGCTGCTTTGGCTCAGGCCCGATGTGCCCTGAAGGCAAAGACCAGTAACTGTGGCCCAGCCCCTCCCAGCAGACGCTTCATGACAGGAAGGACTGAAATGTCTCTTGGATGCCTGGTCCTTCCCTGATGTTCTCACGGCCGCCGGTTGGAGCAGAGATGGACACCCCTGGTCTTTGCCTGTGTGTGTGTGTGAGAGTGCGTGTGTGTCCCTGCACGCTGGTCCTGCTGCTTTCCTCATCCCTCATCTCCCTGCATCTCCCCGCCACCCACCCCAAACCGGCCCTTGTCTTCCTTTCTACCCTGTGGTGTTTGGGGTGGTCCTTCTCCAGGCTTCCTTTTCAAGGGGAAGCCGAGAGGAGGATCAGGATGAGTGAGTCTCAGATTTCAGCAGTGATGGCAACAGTTCACAGCTCAATAAATGGTGATGAGGTTAACAAAAAAAAGAATCTGCCTGCAATGCAGAAGACAAAGATTTGATCCCTGAGTCAGGAAGATCCCCTGGAGAAGGGAATGGCTACCCACTCCAGTATTCTTGCCTGGAGAATTCCATGGACAGAGGAGCCTGGCAAACCCCAGTCCATGGGGGTCACAAAGAATCAGACCCAACTGAGCAACTTTCATTCACTCACTCACTCACTCACTCACTCCCCAAGGTCTGTTTGTTGCTGTTTGCTTGTTTATTCCTATAGTGACTTGGATGGATTATTTTGGTATTTTCCCCCTCTTTGTGAAGCCTCTGATATGCTGCTCAGAGGATGCAGCCCTGGATATATGCACAATAACTCTAGGATGGCAGTAGTAGCAGAACTCTCTGAGACTGTTTCCCTGAGCTCTCTGTTAAACTGGCTGCCTCTGCTAGCATCATACCCAACTTTTAGGCTCCACTAATTGTCAGCTTATTGCTCTATTCGTTGCTCTAGGGCATACATTACTTTAGGGTCTGATTCAATTAAACTTGGGTGCCTTTGTGGAGGTAGTTTTTAAAGCCAGTCTTTGAGGTTTGTTCTGACCCCATGAGGGCTCTTCTAGGCTTTCTTTTTCCCTGGTTCTCTCTGGTAAACTAGGTGGCCTACAGCTTGTTTTAAATTGCTTACCACCCAAATCCCCATTACATTCAGAGCACTCTTAAGTTTGAACGTCCCCATGTTCTGTTTCAAATAAAGTTCGTGATTTTTTTTTTTTTTTTTTTGGCTGCACTGTGCCACTTGCCAGATCTTAGTTCCAACCAGGGATGGAACTCATGCCCCCTGCTGTGGAAGCATGGAGCCCTAACCACTGGACAGCCAGGGAATTCCCTGAAGTCAATGACTTAGGGAAGAGCTTTACAGTTCTCAGTTTTTGTGGATTGACTGGGCATAATCGCTGAGTCTGTTGTAGAACTGAGGGCAAGGACAGTGGTTCATCTCCTAGAATAACATCTGGCTTCATGTGCAGGATTCTGGGCAGTGGTGGTAGCCTTTCATTCTTTCGATGGACATTTAGGTTACCTGCAATTCTCTCCCAACACAGAACATCTGCCCCATGAGCACGCAGGCTGGGACAAAGAGATCAATATTCTTAGCCTGCCATGCCTGAAGTCAAGCCTTTGTCCCATCAGTGAGAGCCGGGTGGAGGAAGGGAGCCCCAATCTCTTGGCTACACTCACCAGGAATTTAGCCTCCACCACTTTGAGCAGAGAAAGGAAGCACTGGTGAGACGCTGGCAGCCTGCTTCTTTCAGTGAGATATCTTATATTTCGACTGGGGACTGAGAGGAAAAGGAGACTCATTCTCTTGGCCTTGCCCACCTGGATCAGAGCTTCAGGCATTGCTCTGAGATGGGTAGAGAGGAGAGAATGAGCAGGTTGCTGCTTAAGTGCCACAGACTCTCACTGTTCTTGCTGAGACTGAGTAGATTTTCTTGAAGTTTCTTCATTTGCTGTATGCCCTTAGGAAAATGTCAGAGACTTTGACAATTGGTTGTAAAATTATCTTCACCGATTATGTAGGACAGTGGGCCAACAGAGTGCCCCATTCCAGAAGTGAAAGCCAGGCATAGAGATTTGAGATAAACTCACTCCAGCTCTCAGCAGTTCAAGAGACATTGGAATTATATTTTAGATCCCTTCTGGGATCATTAAAATTAAGCAGGATACTCAGGTGCTAGCCTGATTAAATCATATCCCTGGTACTGAAAGCTTCATGTAACCTCCAGTCTCTGAGACATGCAGTGGATAGGTGAGAACACCAAATCAGCTACAGTTTTGCTGATTCTTTGGAACTGCTTTGAGACTGAAGCAAAGGATTCATTCAGATTTGGCCCATTCCTTAAGAGTACTTGGGAGAGCAGATAAGACAGTGGGCACACAACTTGGAAATCTGGTGAAGAGACATGACCTGCTCTCTGGAGTTCCTGTCCTGCACAGACTCCATCTCCACCCCCACAATGTGATAGGCTCTCAGATTCCTGCTTTTCTCTAAATCTGGTCTCAGGATGCAGGCATTCTCTCTCCTGCCTCTAAGGACGTGTCTTTCAGGCTTCCTTTCTCCCCCTGATGGGAGTGTTTACCTGCACAACTACAACTGCGCAACTACAACTGGATACGCAGGGTGCGTTCTAAGTCGCTTCAGCCATGTCCAGCTCTTTGCAACCTCATGCGTTGTAGCCCGCCAGGCTCCTCTGTCCATGGAATATTCAGGCAAGAATACTGGAGTGGGTTTCCATGCCCTCCTCCAGGGGATCTTCCTGATCCAGGGATCGAACTTGCGTCTCTTACATCTCCTGCATTGCAGGCAGATTCTTTACCACTGGGCCACTGGGAAGCCCAGATATCCAGGGTGCTGATCTCAAGGTCAGTCAGTCCTCTTTCCTACGCCAGTACCACCACAGCCAGAAACCAGACCTGCCACTTGAGGACTTCAGCTCCTTGCAGCCATGATCCCCTGTCCTACCATTATCCTCAGATGATGCACTAGCTCAGCCAGATCACAGTGACAGCGTCAGCCTCCCCTGCCCTTGCCCACGTGAGTGTGCCCCCACTCGAACCAGCCCGTCCTGGCTCTCAGAGCACACCCACCCCTCAGGAACCGGTCCCAGTGTCCTCTGGGGCTTCACAATGCCCAGGCCCACACAGCTCCTTTCAGGGACAACCCCCACTGGTCTCAATTATTTGTTCCTATGGAGAATTTAACCTCAGGAACTTTTTAGTAGTCAGGCTTCAGTTTAAAGGGACAGAAACAGTCTGAAATAGCCTAAGCTTCAAAAGGATGCTGGAGTGGCTTAGAGAACAATGAGGATGGGACCAGGATGCGGAGACAACAGGCTCTGAGGTCCTGCCTCCATTTCTATCTGGGTTTGCCTTCTCACTCCGCCTTCCATCTCTCTTACCTAGGGCTGTAAAAACCAGCTGTTCAGGAGCCATACCCCTTACCATCCCCTTCCAGAGAGAAGTCAACTCTCCCTGGGCATATTCTGCCATCCGCCCTCCCCGTGGTCTGGCGTCTGCTTTTCCATCTGGCACTGTCTGCCCAGCCGTATGGCTCTAGCTCTGGCCAAGGGATCTTTAGGTGGAAAGACATCCTCTTCTCCCATCTCCCTGCCTACCTCTGTGATCTTCTTTCCTTAGGGTCACCTGCAGCCTCTTGCCTCCTCAGGAAGAGGACTGAGGCTGGAATGCCTCAAAGTCCTTCTCACCCCTGGCTGCATGTGATGATTGCCTAGAGAATTTCACAAGATACCCACTGCTCAGGCTAGAAACCCGATCAATTAGTTGACTGTTGAACAATGTGGGGCTCAATCCTCACACAACATAGTTGGCCTTGCATAAACGTGGTTCCTTCCTATCTGTATCTCGTTTACAAATTCAACCAACCAGGAACTATGTAACATTTAGTATTGAAAAATATGTAAGTAATGAAACTGCACAGCTCAAACTCGTGTTGTTCAAGGGTCAACCTGTAATTTGAATCACTAGGTGTAAGTCCTCTGCACTGGTGTTTCAGTGCAGCCAGGATTGCAACTACTGTATAGAGATCGAAGGTGAAGATAAAGAGGATTTACTTGAAGAGGTCTTGAGATACACCCTCCAACCCCAACACACACATAGGGCCTACTGCCATTGTTAGAATCCTAATACTCCAAAAGCAACAGTTCCAAAGAATCCTTCAGTTTCCAGGAAATCCTCAAAATTTGTCATTGCAAAGCATTGTCACTTTAATCTTAATTTGAAGTCAGTTGCTAAGGCCCCACCAGAGGCAAATTTCCAGTAGGATTTGCTGGTTTTTAAGGTGGTCTGGAGGGGGTGCTAACTCCTTCCAGCCACTGGGATTGGAAAGCAAATGGGTTACCAAAGGAGGTTTCCCTGGAAAGGGGGAGAGGTTCTTCTGGGTGGAGAATTGCATTTTTGTTGCTCCCTGTCACTGTGGTCTTAAGAGACCCTCCTTTGTCCATCATAGACTTTTCCAGGGGCAACACTAAAAAGTCAGGCACAGAGGGGAGACAGCCGTTAGAAGTGGGCAGTGTGGTCAGATAAGCGTAGAGTTGACTCTGGGGTCTCAGGCACCCTCTGATAGGCCTGGGGTGTTTCCCCTGAGAAAGGGTGAGAATGTGGTTGAATCAGTAACATGCAACACTGTTTCAAGCAACATTTGTTGCATGGCTACTTGGCCAAAGTCATGAGACTGATTTACAGTGTACCTGTTTCACTGCAGGTGGAAGTAGAAGGGAATATAAAATGTTACTGGAGGGCAATTTGGAAATATCTATCAACGGCTTAAAAATGTTCATTTCCTTTCACCTAGTAATTCTACTTCTGGGAATCCATCCTCAGAAAACAACCAGAGAGGAGCCATTTTGTTTTCTGCATCACAAGTGAAACGGCAGCGCATCCATTATGATGCTGGGCTATGGTTGCGTCATAATTCACGTTTAGTATGTGGACTGACAACGGAAGCTAGCTCATTGTATAAGGCTGAATGAAAAGAGGCAGGAACACGCGTAGGATGTGCATACACATAGCGAAATAGATCATGATTTCTGTGGGTAATGGGGTTTTATTTTTAATATCTTCATTGCCCTTCTGTTTTGTTTTGTTACAATCAGCACTTATTAATGTTATAATCAGAAACAAAAGCTACTCGTCTTTCCGTGTGGGGTCTTGAGATGACGAGTCTCCGGGATGCGTGGGCCGTGGGGTTGGGTAACCGACTGGTCGGTGACCCGGCTAGGGAGGCGCGCCGGTCCGGCCCCTCCACCACGACCCTAATCCCAGAGCGCCCGCCGGCCTCCGCCCGTAGCGCCAGCTGGCACTTCAGCAAGTGGGCGGCGGCGCCCATCAGCAAGCGGCGGTACCTCTCTGGGGACCTACGCCTGCAGCTGGTGAAGATGGGCTCAGCCACCCGCAAAGAGTCGGCGGTCCGGCGGCACAGGTGGGCCCGGGCGTGGGTGTGCGGGCTCGGGGCGGGGCGGTGAGGGCTCAGGCCGGGCCGGGCTGCCCTCCCAAGAGGTGCCCGGGGGGCCCTGCCACCCATCGCGCCCTGGGCCGGCCTCTAGGCTCACGCCCACCTTCCTCCCCGCGCCGGCTCCAGTTCCAAGAGTCTAGCCGAGGAGTGGGACCAGAGGGCGATCGGAGAAAGCTACTACGAGCTGTTCGCGGCCTCATTGGGCAACCTGGAATGGCTGCGGTTCTGTCTAAATCGGCATCCTGGCGAAATCGTGGCCGATGACAAGGCAAGGCCTTGGAGCCCGGGGCAGGAACCGGAGTCTTCTCCACCCTGCAGGGAGCTCTGCACACAGGGGTTACCTGGCAAGCCGCGACGGTCCAGCTACTGGGTGGAAGGTTCTAGTTCAGCTTCCTACTGTCTGGAGGGCAATTTGGGGGGAGCGAGTTAAGGGAGTGGGAAAGGGGAACGTGAGATTCCAGGGGGCACAGAGGAAAGGCGAGGGTAACCCCAAGAAACCCTCTCTAGGTTAGGTTGTGCGACCCGGGGCGCAGTCCTGCTCAGCCACTTCCTGTCTTCTCTGGCCCCCGCAGGGTTTCACTGCCATCCACTTTGCAGCCCAGAGCGGCAAGCTTGCATGCCTGCAGGTCTTGGTGGAGGAGTACAAGTTCCCTGTAAACCTGCCCACTAACAACGGCCAGACACCTCTGCACCTTGTCATCCATGCTGACAACAAGACCGTGGCCCTCCCCTGCATTCACTATCTGATTAAGCAAGGGGCAGCCCTCAACACGTGAGTCCAACCTATGTGGGGAGAGGGGCTGGCAGGCTGGGCAGATAAGAGCCTCACTTCCAGGCAGGGAGATTCAAAGAGGCGAGGGAGAAGAGCTGTGGGGTGCCAGGAACTCGTTCCCACAGGAAGCAGTCACGTGGTAGTGGCTGAGAGGCTTTGAAAGAGGGCAGACCTACTTCATGTCCCTGTCTTGCTACCTGCCAGGAGACAGAAAAACCTCAGGCAAATCACTCAATCCTAAGTCTCAGTGCTCTTGTTCCCAAGCCTGTCTGTATACTGGAATCACCTGGGGAGCTTCAAAAATACCAATGCCTGTGTTTCAATCCAAAAGAGTCTGTCATTTAATTGGCCTGGGATGTGGCCCAGGCTTTGAAGGCGCAAAAGAGCCCCAGCTGTTTCTCATTTGCAGCAGAGTTTAGGAACTACTGCCTCAGTGTCTTCAGCTGAAATTTGGGTGGATGACAATGCCTATCACATGAGACTACTGTGATAATTGAGAAAGTGAATGGACAGCTTAGAGGACACTGCATTCATTCAAAATATTTATCCAGCATCTAATGTGCTGAGCACTGGGTCAGAGTTGAGGAATATGGTGAATGTAACAGCCATGGTCCCTGCCCTCCTAAAGCTGACATACTAATGTAGGAGCAGCCAGTCAACTAGCAAACCAATGAACAAAATGACAGTCTGGTAAGCAGTTATGAAGGGTAATGCAGCTGTGAGTAAAGGGGACAAGGAGAAGACCTATTTGGGAATGGGCAGTCACCTCTAAGGAGAGGACTGAGAGGAGCCGGCCAGGTGAAGAGCCAGGGAAAATTATTCCAGGCAGAGGTGCAAAGGCCATGTTGGGAGAGCATGGGGCAAGGTCAGAAGATGAAGCTGGGGAGGAAGAGGGCCCATGGCCAGGAGTGGGGAAGGGGGAGGAGGCCTGGGTGGTTAAAGAGATGAGGTTCATGGTCTCTGCACTCTAGCCAACCCAGCTCTCCTTTTGGTAGGTCCTCATGGTCACATACTCCATAATCAGACTTTTGGTGTTCATTTAGTCCAAACCCTCCTTCAACAGTTGAAACTGAGGTACAGAGAAAAGGGACGTGCCAGGGTCACCAGTGGACTGGTGGCACAGCAGGCCTGGGAGCTGGTTTGCCCACCCATCCGATGCCCTTCATCCTTCCTTTCTCCCCTCTTCTCCCTGGAGGGGCCCTCCACAGTCAGACGTGCAGTGGCTCCACACCTCTGCATCTGGCAGCCCGCGAGGGCCTGCTGAGCTGTGTCAAAGTCCTGGTGCAGAAAGGTGCCAATGTCCATGCACAAGATGCCACAGGCTGCAAGCCCATTGACTACTGCAAAATATGGAACCACCGAGTCTGTGCCCGGTGAGGGTGTGAGAACTACCCCCACCTGCCATCCTTCCCCAGGGCCCTCACCCAAGGATGAGTCTGCAGGGGGGATCCCCTCTCCAAGACGCTACTCCTGGGGCTCTCCACAGGCCTCACCCCTGGGGCTCAGCACCACCTTGAGGTCCTGGCCCTTCAGCAGGAAGGTGGTGATCACTTGCCCCTCAGCACCAGGGAGGCAGTTAACCAGACGGGGTACTGGCCCATCTTGCTCACTTCATCTCCGGCAGCTCCCCCTACCCTCACCAGGCCCTCAGCAGCAGCCAGTCTTCCCAGCCCAGGTTGAAGCTGAAGGGATGACACACCCCCGCCTTGGCACCAGGTTCTTGAAAGATGCCATGTGGAAACGGGACAAGAAGGACTTTGCCCATGAGATGACGAAACTGAAGAGGCTCAGGGACCAGCTGGCCCTCATGGAGGAGGACTACCTCGCTGAGCACCAAGTAAGGGGTAGGGCAGGCAGGGGTGCTGGGCATCAGCTGTGGTCCAGGTGTGTGAGCATGACTCCCGTGTGTGGTTAGTTAAAAGAGTGCCTAGAAGTGGTCCCATCCAGAAAGAGCCTCCCCCCTCCTCTGAGGAGGGAGCTCCAGGAGGGTGCCAGAGGGATAATGCTGAAGGGTCTAGAGGTGGGCGGCAGTTGGCTACATGAACCATCAGGGAAGAGCTGAGCTGGTAGAAGGAACAGACAGCCCTGTGGAGAAGCGTGGGGGCCCACGAGAGCATGGTATATGTCAAGAAGTGCAGATTCAGAACAGACAAGGAATCAGATGTGAGCTGGAGGCTGACAAGCTAGAGACTCGGCAGGGCCCCAGATCAATGTCAGACCTTGACTGGGGCAGAAAAGGAGAGTAAAGGATTTTAATGCGAGGTATAGCTGCATAGAATGCAAGAACCAGGAAACTCCACAAGAAGATGCTGGGACTCCTAAGTGGATCCAGGGGTGGGGAGGGCTTTGGGGCTGGCAAAATCGGGTATTTCAGCTCTGTTCCAGCTGCATTCCTCTCATTTTCCCTGTCATACCCACTGTTGGTCCACGCAGCTCTCAGTCACGTGTGTATCCAGAGGAGGCAAAGCCCATCTGTCCCTGTGTCTCTAAGATTTCTCCTCATCTCTTATTGGCCTCAATTGGATCACCTGTGCATTCTTGTTCCAATCCCTAGAGCTCAAGGAAAGCCATGTGCTGACTGACTGAAGTCTGGGGCAAGGCTGATGGAATTATGATGATTGGCTTAGCCTAATCAGGGGGGCCTACCTCTGGAGCTGGGTCAGTCTCCAAACCACCTGACTGCTTAGCAACAGTCTGGGAACTGAGACGGGGATGGAGGAAGGGGTGGTTCTGTGACAAGCTGAAGGTTCAGCTCTAGTGGAAGGAAGGACAGACAGCATCACCATCCAGTCTGGAGCACCAGCCAGCTGTCTCCCTCCCTAACCTGACTGCTCAAGGCCTCCACTTCCAAGAAGCCTGCTCAGATTCGCTCCATCCAGTTGCTGGCCTTCCAGACTTCTCTGTTCTCTCCTTCCAGGGTCAAGGATAAGTTTGCACCACTCATTTGCACCCCCCCCCCCCCGCCATCAAACCAGAAACTTTTAAGGCAGGCTGGGAACTCCTTTATGGAGGGTGCAGGAGTTCCCCCCATTAAGACTCAAGCTTTTCCATAGGGCAGGGATTGGGTCTCCCCTCTCAAGCTGGAGACCTCACCTAGGGCAGAGGCCGAGTCTCCATCTGACTGGAGGTCTCCCCTGTGGGAAAGGCTCTGTCGCACGAGCCAGGGGCCCCTCCAGGCAGTATTTTCCTCCTCAGAACAAGGCTCCCACAAGACAGGGGTTTCTCTCATCAGACTCTGGGCTCGCAAAGGGCAGGAAGGTATCTGCTCAACTAGACCTGGGGTTTCCAGGGGGCTACAGCCACAGGGCCTGCTTTCACAGAAGCACAGGGGGAGCAGCTGTCCAGAAGTATCTTGTGCCTTCTGATGTTGCAGAAGGAGCACCAAATTCTGAGAGAAGCTGACTTCAAGAAGTGGCTCCATCGCAAGTTGCTACTCCAAGACCAGTCCCAAATACCCAGCGTTCAGCGAGAGCCCCGTGCTCCGCCCCGGGCCACGGCCCTCTCCAAGACCTGCAAGGACGGGGTACTGTGGCCTCCCACGACCTTCCACCCCTCCCCGGAGGCGCGCCTGCAACAGATACAGCAGCCCAATATGCCCTTGCTGACGCCTGCGCCCACCTATAAGCCGCCCACCATCAGGCGGCCCAAAGTGTGGAATCTTAGCAGCAACCCTGCCAGGTCCCCCACCGCCCAGATTGCCTACCCACAGGGCGTCCGCCTGGGTGTGCATCCTGACCCCAGGCCAGAGCGTGACTTCCGCTGCTTCGTGGAGGTGAGGTCCGACGGGCACGGTGGCGCGCACCTGTGCACGGTGGCCGGCCACCATGTGGAGCCTGTGCCCCGGCTGCCTTTTGAAGTGGTAATCCGCGAGCTGTACCCTTCGGTGCGGCCCTACAGAATGAAGGTGCCCCAGGGCTTCTGCTCTGTCACTATGGGAGAGGTGCCCCGGAAGCGGCACTTGGGCAACAGCAGCTTCTGGACCGACACGCTGAGCATGAACCTGCGAGAGACATTCGACGAAGCCTTCCTGGTGGCTGTTCGAGCCCATCAAGGACTCCCTGCTCTGCCTTCCCCTAAATCACCCCTCCCTTAAACTTACTTTGGTAGCCTCTCCACTGGAGACTGCTCAGTGAAGGCTGAAGTGTGGTGATTCTGTGTGGATGGGGAGGAAGGGGGAGTGCCCACAGGCTGCCCACCCTCAAGCTCAAGGATGGCGGCCCCCTCCCCCACAACCCCAGATCCCCTTCTCTCCACAAAGGAATCTCCCCCAGGAGATCCAAGTTAGGGCAGTATCCCAAGGCTGAGTGGGGATCCCTCTGTTCTGGACCCTAGCACTGGAAAAGTGACACCTTGGCATCCCCATCTCCCCCTCCTACCCCAAACAGCTCACCAGAGGTGAGGATTCCAGGATGAGGGGCCACTTTGAAATTCTGCCTTTTGTTCATATTAAGTCCTTCCTGCTGCAGGTTCTAAGCCTCATTCTGCATTTCCAGATCCAGAACAGGGAGGAGGAAGGCTAGTGTCGCCCTGCCGTTGGCTTTCCCGCCACTCTGGTCTTCCTTCACCCCAGTTGCCAGTGGGGTCTCTGCAGTTCAGAGCAGCACAGGCTGTCTCTATATGGAAGACGGAGGTTGAGGCCGAAAGCACTCCTACTTCCTCCGGGAAGCTCACCTGGATCCCCTGCTAGCCCCTGTATACATCACTGCAAATCATTCATTAAACAAACGTTTATTGAGTACTTTCTATGTGCCAGGTGCCAAGCTAGGCGCTGTTGATACAAAAACTGGACACTCCCTGCCCTCAAGGAGCTTACAGTCTAGTGGGGAGATAGACCAGTCAGCAGGCAGGTAAGACCAGAGTGACCTGTTGTGGTGTGCTGGAGGGAGACGGGACATCGAGTTCCTTGGAGGAAGTGAAGTCCAAGTTGAGAACTGACAAGAGAAGGTAACCAGGTGAGTAGAATGAAGGAGAAGCAACAGGGCATTTCTAGATACAGGAGGCTGAAATTCAGAGTGCAAAGTGGCCAGTGATGAGGCCAGATAGGCAAGCAGGAACCAAGCCACCACGAGTCTCACGAGCCATGCTTAGGGGTCTGGACTTTATCCTGAGGGCAGTGGAGAGCCAGGGAAGGTTGCAAGCCAGAGAGAGACTGGATCAACTATGCATTAGAAAGACAACTCCAGCTGTGAGATAGAGAAGCCAGAGGCTGCCACAATAATCCAGGTGAAAGTTGATGACAGTGGGAGTGGCTCAAATAAAGAGATGTTAAGAAGGTAAACTTGACAGTTGTTAGAGATTGGATGTCCAGGCAGAAAGAGAAACCAGGTGCCTGGTTGGGCTCCTGAGTGATCTTCGGGCCAAAGCAGGTACCCAAAAAAGGCAGGTTTGCAGAGGACAGCAGCAAGTGCTATCTGGGTCACAAGGTTTGTCTGCGTGCCCAAAGGCAGCAGAACGGTGGTTCAGAGGACCAAAAGGGATGCTGGGGTTGGAGGTCAGCTCTCAATTCCTTGAAGCCATCAGCAAGGGACAGGCTCCTCCAAGGAACCCACGACAGAACCCTGTGCATGGGGTGAGGGGAGGAGCGTGCGCTGGCCTAGAAGGAGCAGAGAGGGAGAAGCAGCCACAAAAGGGCTTGGGAAGCCAGCAGTGATGAAACCTGCCCAACGCTGCAGAGACGTAGAAAGAGATGTGAAAAGGGTCCGCTGGACTTAGCACAAGGCCACTGGCAGCTCCTGTCACGAGCAGTGGAGTGAATGGAGGGGCAAAGCTGCCACTGGGGTGAGAAAGAGAGAGACAGCAAGAGACAGCAAGGCCAGCTGCCGGCCAGCAGTCAGGAGGACACTGGCCTCCAGCGTCCTGGACCTTGTCCTGCCTTGTCTGCATAGGACAGAAGGGCCTGTCACTGAGAGGAGGCCAAAATGTCTGCTCCTCCCCAGCAAAGGGGAGGGATGGTTATTTTTAGGAGAAAGGGAATACTAAAGCCAAGGAAATGAAGGGCTACGGTGGGACTGGAGGCAGGAGGTAGAAATAAGGTTTGCAAGCACAGAGGTCTTCCCCGTGGCTGAAAGGTACCATATGTGTGCTGTCCATCTCTGCACCCGCCTGCTTTGCTCTGAGGTATCGGACATGCCGGTAATGGCTCCCATGGGGACTTCATTCCCATACATACTGCTGAGTACTTGGAAGGCACTATAGTTGGAGTGCAAGGTCGACAAATGCTGCCCTATGCCCAGGACCTGGACTGTCTTCTTAGAAGACAACCACCTCCCAGGAGCCGTGACCACTCAGAAGAGAGGGCCAGCCCTGTGTGCTTGGAGTAACACACAGCTTCTCCCACCACCCGTTTCTTACAAAGCAGGCTGTAGTCCAGGCTGCCTGGAAGCCAATTTTTATTGTTTCTCCTCAAGCCCGAGATAGAAATCGCCAGAAACCACTCCTCTTCCCTAGGACAAAACTTACAAATAGGATATCATACATGTTCTCCTGAAAACTCTAACCCAGTCCCACACTATCCCCTCTCTGCCCTCAGCCTGGCAGTCACAGAGCCCCAGGGGAAGAAGAGACGGAAGAAGAGAGACAGGGACTAAGAAAGGTTGCCTCCATTTCCACTCCCCATCCCCCCGGCAGGTTCGGCTCATCTCTGTCCCCTTCCCACTATGGGCCACAAGAATGGTCCCTTCGGAAGGGCAAGACCCAAACGTGGAGAAAGAGCCCTGGTGCAGCAAAGCCAGTCCAGGCGAAAGTCTGCAGGAAGAAAGATGAACTTTCAGGGTATTAAGGCAAACAGTGCCACCTAGAATCTTTATTCAAATGGGAATCAGCACTTGGACAGAAATCACAGTTCAACAGCAAAAGCTTTCTCTTGCAAGTGCCAAGTCACAGCCCCTCCCGTGGCCATCTGCCCACTGGCAGTTATCACTGTCTGCTCTTCAGCTTCATGGCCCTGGCCCTACCGTCCCAGGCTGAGCCAGAACTCCTGACCGACCACAGGAGGGAGCAGGAGGGCCACGGGCTCAGCTTCTGTGCACCCAGGTGGGTGGTGGCCTCCTGGCTAAGCAGGCCCCGACTCCTCCCTGGCAGCCTCTGAGGTCTCAGCCTCCAGCAGTATCAGATCTGACCTGAGCTGAGCCTCCTGAGGAGGGTGGGGATGAGGGCTTCCAGGGGAGTGGAGGGAAGGAGGGCTGGGGCTGGGGGAAGGTGCCTTCCAACTCTCGGCCCCCACCCAGTGCAGAGGCCAAGGGGCCTGAGTCTCCGGCTCCTGCGCCAGCATCCCCTCCCCAGGGGGTCAGTATATCTTCTGCCGACTGGGTAGAATGGCCTCTTTGATGAATGAGAAGACAACCAGGATCCCTAAGCGTTTGCCCCGCTTGCCTTTGGTGAAGTAATTGGAGACCACGTCATCTGTGGAGACACAGGCAGGGAGGTGAGAGTGTGTGTGTGTCTGTGTGTGTGTCCGTGTCTGTGTGTGTCCGTGTCTGTGTGTGTGTGTCTGTGGCTGTGTGTGCGTGTCTGTGGCTGTGTGTGTGTCTATGTGTGTGCCTGTGTGTGTTTGTGTGTCTGTGTGTGTGAGTACACAGCGCTGCCCACCCAGAATTCAGTGTGCGTCTCTCAGGGTGGGCTCTGCTCCCTCAGCGGCTCAGGCCTTGCTGGTGTCCTCCCACCATGACCCCTTCCCGCCCGCTTCTCACCTCCTGGCTGCATGGTGGAGGGCAGGACGTTCTCCCCAGCTGAGAGCGACACGAAGAACGCGAACGGGATTATCCACAGACAGAAGGTGAAATAGGCCAGGACCTGGCAACAGAGACACCGAGAAGATGGTGCCCGGGTGGCGAGGCTGGCCCAGGAGCAGCCACCGTCTATCTCAGAAGGGTGGCTGAGGGCACACCAACAGCCCCACGTGGGCTCTCTGAAGGGGACCGGGGCCCAGGAAGCAGAGACAGGATAGCCCCAGACATGGAGACTCAGTGGGGAAAGGTGGAGACTGAAGATGACCACGATTCAGGCCAAAATCCCTGAATCCTGGTCACCAGGAAGAGCAACTCCTCAACCAAAGGATGTAGATGGAAGGCAAAACCATGACCGACCCGTATCTCCTGGAGAAGTGACCTTGTTCTTCTCCAGGGTTCAAACTAGAGCAGCAGGGCTCAAGGCTGTGGCCCAGCCCTGCCCTGTGAGGTTGGCATCAGACCAGGTCACCCCTCGCCCCTTCCTGACCTCAGGATGTCAGGCTGGGATCCTGGGAGACCCAGTGGCCTTCTTCCTCAGCCAAAGGGTCCCTGCTCCTCACACTCACAGCTTTCTAAAATAATGGATGTTATTATTTTTCAATGTGTTATTCCTGAATAATTTCAAATCAGAGCCAGATTCACAAAGGACCCGCACAAGTTCCCTGTGCCCCTGCCGCGGTAGTCCGCCAGCAGTCTGCGGACACACTGAAGACTTCTTACCTCTGAGAAAGGATAATATTCCTCTGCAAAAAACTGAAACGCTAGGTAATGATTCACCACCACTAGCCCTGTTGGGGGAATGAAGAGTCAGTCAGTCTCAGGGATGACATAAAATAGACTTTCAGCCGTCACAAGGCACCGGAGGTCGGAAGCCAAGTCTTGGTCCTGACTTTACACACGGCCCAGAGTGCAGCTTGGGCCAAGCACACTGCTCTCCAGCATTCAGCCTCCCATCTGCTAAAATGACAGAACGAGCCCCCTCTGCCCACTGCCGAGTGCACGTGTGAGTTACGTTAGAAGTGGATAAAACACTCCTTGAATGTCACAGAAATGAGACTTCAGTGCTACACAGCCCAAAGCACCGTGCCAAATGACTTGGTCCAGAGCGGCCGTGAGGCCTAAAGAGAGCTCTGCACGGGCGGTGGGGAGGAGGAGGGGGCTCCTGTGTCCAGGAGGAGGCGCCCCAGACAGAGGCTCTCACCCCTCGGGAATACAGGGCGCCATCTGCTGGATGCTTTGCGGGGCAGTCTCGGGGTTCCTCAAAGTTCCGGGTCTCTCCTTATCCTGCCCCAGGGTAAAGCTGGCTGATCTGAACTGGTATGTTCTGCATCCCCACACACCTCCTTCATGTGCAGCCAGATTCAGACAGATCCTGGGGGGACCCACTGCTCAGACACAGGCATTCCTGTTGTGGTGAAGTGAAGGGTAGACATCCCCTCAAACCCAACACCCCTCACATATATCTCGCCAGCAATAGCACGGGCCCGTCCTCTTTTCTCCTCTCTTGCCACTCCCCTTCCACAGCAGGGACAACAGCTCTGCCATGCCTAGCCATGCTCTAGGGCAAGGGCTTGCTGGGAGACAGGATGGTGCCCCACGCCCACAGACCTTCAGAAAAACTCTCCCAGGCATTCAGAGGGCAAGTTGAGGGAGAAACAAAGGAAAGCCAAGGGAGCGTGCTACTGTAGGTGGGGCTGGGGGGAGTGGGGAGCACCCTCCCACCTAGGAAGATGCAAGAGGGGCGTAGCACCCAAGGAAGGACACCTCACACCAACCCCCACAGAACAAATCTTTCAGTGGAATCAAACCAAGGCACTCAGTCCTGGCCTGAACACCATGCCCTCCTGTGAAGGACGATTTCTTTCCAGGTTCTCTCACAAAAATAGAAAAGTAGCTCTAAAAACCCCAATTCCATCTGACATCTTGACAAAAGGCTATGATGACCAGTAACAACTGAAGGGAGAAAAGGCAATCCTGGTAACCAGATTCTGTCTAGAACCTTTTCCAGAAACAACTAGAGCACCTATGTGCCTAATGACTTTCCCAAATATCACTGAACAGATGGAGACGCTAAGGTCAGAAAGGGGAACTGACTCCCCGGGGTCAGAAACTGGTGGCAGAGCAAAGGCAGGAAGGCCAGGGTCCTTTGAACACATTTGTCAGCCCCAAGGCAGCTGTCTGCAGGGAGACCCGCAGCCCCATGAAGCGCACCTTAATCAGAACTCACTGCCAGACGACTGGATGGGGCGCTGCCTGCAGGCCAGGGAAAGGCTTTGGGCTTTTCCTGGCCAAGTGGTTTCTTAAGGGCTGTAACTACTCAGCCAACCCACTTCTTTTCCCTTCTCGAATCTTTCAGACCCCACCTGCCCCAGGAAAGCCGTCCCTCTCTGAGCATCCCAGCCCTCCAAATTCTAGTCACTAGAGCCAGTGTGTGCTCCCGGGTCCTCACATGAGAGCCCCGACCTCCAAGCGGCCTGGCCTCCTGGAGGACCTCAGTGGTCTGCGTCCCCCTTCGGTGCCGTAGACGGAGCACAGCACATCCCACCACCTCAGCTGGCCCTCCCACTCTGTCCCCGCTCACCGCACGACAGGATGAAGTTAGGTGAGGTCAGCATGATGAAGGGGAAGGTCTGGAGGAGGCCAAAGTAGACCAGGTTGGTGAAGAGGCCCACGCCAATCATGTAGGTGGGGAAGCGCTCAAAAACGTAGAGGCCAACCAGCACAGCCGTGGAGAACTGAAACAACAGAGGCACACGGTGCGGGGAGCGTCTGCCAGGCAGCCTTCCTGGACTCGCAGGGCAACACTGTCTTCACGCTGGTCTCTCCTTGTCTCACAGGCTGAGTTCTGACGTCCCCGACCAGCGCCTCGGCTCCCGAAGGGCGGCTCTTTTTAATCTCAAAGTTAGTTTGACAGCACCCCACAGTAAGAAAAACAGCTTACACTGTGACCCCAACACACACACATACATGTGATCAAAGTTCAGATTTCAATTCTAGTTTTTTCCATCCCCCTTTTTTGTAATGCTGATAATGACCTGCTGAATTGATTGCACAACCCAATAAGGAATCACACCTGCAGTTTGAGAAACACAGTTCTGAAGGACTTATAGTTGTCAGGGCATAACAAATGGCAGGCAGTTAGCTGAATGAAGGACTGACTCCTGTATCAACACCTATGAGCTGGGTCCCTGAACCCAGGGCTGAGCGCTATGGTCCTGTTTCCACCACTGACTCCCTACCCCAGGTCATGCCCAGAGGGAAAGTGGCTGCTGACAGCAGGTGACTTGAGAGGCGGTGGGCCCCTCCTGTTCAGATAGGCCTCCAGTCCCTCCCCAGCCTCTCCTGCAGCTGCAGAAACCACCAGCAGTCTCTCCTGTGGCTTTGGCATTGACAGCGCGGATTCTATCTTCAGGAAGAGAAGCCTTCCATGAGCCCTGAGCAGAGCAGGGCCTGTGCCAGGGACGGTGTCTCCCTCTTAGAACAAGTCACTTGGTCCAACAACTACTCAAAACTGTCCTTAAGGTTCCTCTCAGTTCTAAATGCTGTGAACAGAGCAAGGGGCTAAGACCACTGAAGACAAGCAAAGGCAAAGCCATGGTCCTGTCAACACAGAACAGGCACTTGGCTCTCACCGTAAAGAACCGAGAACAAGGCCTGCAGTGAAGCGATGCAACTGGGGAAGGAAGCTCCGGAAGACCTAGGCCCAGGTGAGCAGACCCAGGGGACCAGGTACAGGGGAGGGAGGTGGGGGATGGTACCCTCAGGAAACAGCAAGATCAGAGGTCTCATCACCCAGGCCAAACTTTCCCCACTCTCTCCTTTTGAGGAAGGTCAAGAGTGAGGGGGATCCTGGGGAAAGCTGTCACTTACCCAGATCATGTATTTTATGATCCTGCTGGTTGCAACTGTGTATTCTTCTATCAATTCGGCCAGGTAATAAAGTCCGGCGGCTGGAGGCGGGGAGGAGAGCAAGGCAAGCAGGGAGAACATTAGCCAGGGTCACTCCCACCATCCTGATCAGCCCTCTATCTGCAGCTGGGTCCCACCCAACCTTTCATGAGTCCATGAGGCAAGGAACAAACCAAACAACCCGTGCGTTACCCTCCCAAGTCATGAGTAAAACTTTGTCAAGGCAACTAAGGCGAGATTTCATAAAAGTGAATGAAAACCCATATTTGATGCCTCAGCACAAAACCTAACCTCTGGCCCATAAAAGGGAATTTTTTTCACAGGTGCTGGGCTGAGAGCTGAGCACACTACAAGACAGACGAGGTCCCTTCCCTGACCCAACTTTGCGGGGGGGGGGGGGGGGGCGATTGAGTAGTAATGGAATCAGACGATCCCAGTGTGACAGGTGCTACTTTACAGGAAGTACAGGGCGCGACTGGACCATCAGACCTCATAAGGAGGGCTTCTCGGAGGAGGTGAGATCTCAGCTGGGATCAACAGTAGGAACTAGCCAGGAGGGGAAAGCGTGTCAGAGAGAGTAGGAAGCACGAAGTGCCAAAGGCGAAAGGGCGGCGGTAGGGGTCGGGGAAAGTTCGCCGCGGCCTGCTCTGCGAGGACGGGCGCGACAGCGATTGGCGGTGCGCGGGCAAGGGGCACCTGAGGCAGCCTCTCCCGGGCACCGCTGGGGTGGACTCTGTGACTCCTGGAAGGACCCGCGGTCAGCTAGGCTGCTGGGGCCAGGAGGAGAAGCAGGACCAGGCGGGACAGGAGGGGGCTGCGAAGGCGAGAGGACCGGGCGGGGGTCTCGCCGGTCGCCCCGGCGCCCTCGTGATGCGACCCCCGGCGGGCACAGATGCCGGAGCGGGAGCCCGCGCGGGGCCGGGTCGCGCACTCTCACCGACGGCCAGCGTGATGAAGGCCACCTGGATGAAGAGCGACAGCCAGCTCAGCACGTACATGAACCACATGGCGCCCCCGCCCCGCCCGCCCCCGACCACCGGGACGGGCCTGCGCGCTCCGGTTCGGGCGACAAGGAGCCGCCGCCACCGTCGCCGCGTCCCCGCCCCGCGGACGGTCGTGCGCCGCCGCCGAGAGCAGCCCGGCCCGAGAGCCGCCCTCGGCCGGGACAAGACTAGCGCCGCCTGCCGGCGCGGAGGGCCAACCGCTGCTACCTCCAGCGGCGCGCGCCCGCGGACCGGGGCTGCACCAAGAAGATCCGCTGTGCAACCCGGGGAGGCGGGACAGCCGGTCCTGACGGGCCGGGACGCGGCGCTAGTACCGGAGCTTGAAAGGTATCCTCCGGCCCCTCCCTGTGCACTCCTGCGTCAGCCTGGAGCGTGATCTCGGGCCTCCCAACCCCTTCCCAGCAGCCTCGGATCAGAAGCCTCCAGGCAGGTTGCCCAGGGCTTTCTTTTGCTCCTGCAGGTAAAACGAACAAAACTCTCAAGTGCCAGGCAGTGTGCTAAAGGCCAGGCTGTAGGTTCAGGATGGAAATTAATCTGATCCCAGGAAAGTTACTTTGCCTCAGGTTGTACCTCTACAAGTGGCACAGGTAGAAACTGGGGCATCTTTGATTAGCCATCCTGAAGCCTAACTCTCCCTCTCTGTTGATTTCGTCCGGTAGGTGCTGAATGCATTTACTCCACCTCTGGAAGGGCTAACTGAGGGGCCGCAGAGAGCAGGGCAACCCATCAAGTCCCCCATCTAGTGGCGGAGACATGCAAAGATAAGGAATGTATATCGGGCCTCTGGTATGTTTCTTATCAGAACATTTTTCATGCATAAAAATAAATACATATTCCTCATAAAATTAAACAGAATTGCCATGTTATCAAGAAATTCCACTCCAGGGTATATACCCAGAAATATTGAAAGTATTCTTTTTTTTTTTCAGTCTCAAGTAGGTCAATTTTAATGATGACTCATCACATCACTTGAAAAGATGAAGGAAACAAGGGAAGAGTCCTGGCCGTGATACTGTGAGTTGGTTCGGAGTCATAGGGATCAGATGCAGAAGCATCAGGAAACCAAGAGCAACCTTCAGTGGCAGAGGCACTCAGCCGCAGGGAGAGTCCTTCCTCATGAGAGTCTGGGTGAAGAATGCGTTTGTGGAAAGCAGTGCTGAATGTTTCACTCAGCTTTCTCCATAAGCATGCCTGGTGTGTTAAAATTGTCCACAATAATTTAGGTTCAAACAACATTTGGAAAGCAGTAATGTTGAGAAATGATGTAAAAATAATGAATGCGCAAAACTTCCCAGCACGTTATCCTTATTCAAAAAGACTTGAGCAGAAGATAAATCCTACAAATTTATGAACACAGTTTCCTCTTTTAGCTAGAGTTCAATCCTCAGTAGACTGGAAATTTTCCAGGGAAGAAAACATTTGATTATAAAGAATATAGGAAACTTTAAAATCATGGAATAACTCTTAATGAATATCAGAAAGTTCTTGTTAAAAGAATCAATAAATATGCAATACAACATCCCAGAGCACAAGTCCGTCCCAGAACGGGAGAGCTCCTTCTGCAGAGAAACGCTGTGTGTGGTCAGTGGTGCATGGTGACTTTCTTCTGGTGTCGTTTTCACTCGTTTTTCCTCTTTGTTTGTGGGAGAGTCTTCATGCCCACTCAGTGGCTTGTTTTCTTTGTATTTATCAATGTAAATTTGAAAACTTCAGTGAGATACCACTCAAACCGCAGATAGTCAACAAATCTGTGAGTGTCCAGGAGTCTCTGGCAGAGGTGTGGGTCGGTGGCGGCCTGCTGCAGGGTTGGGGGCATGGACTATAGCAGTACATGCCTGGGATCTTTTGAGGGAGGCCACCATTATCTTCATCACCTCCATCATAGTTTGGCCCCAGGTAAATAGCAGGGAGGGAACACAGCTCCACCTGTTCACTCCACCAGAGCTCTCTGCAGGCTGAACTATCTGTTGTGACGTTTTCAGAGAAAAGCTAGGGCTTGACATCATTGCTTGCAGATCACTTCTGTACGCTCCTTGTTGCAGGCTGGTTTTCCAGAAGCAGACACAGAGGAGGAACTCGGTGGCAGGACGAGTAAGCAAAGGCTTCCTGTCTGGTGCAACTCACAGGGACCTCTAGCCGGCTCATCCCTGGCAAGCCGAGGCGCGCGCATGCGCAGGACTCGCGGGGCGCGCCCTGAAAGTATTCTTGAGAGTACCTTGGACTGGGATGAGATCAAACCAGTCAATCCTAAAGGAAACCAGTCCTGAATATTCATTGGAAGGACTGATACTGAAGCTGAAGCTCCAATACTTTGGCCACCTGATGCGAAGAACTGACTCCTTAGAAAAGACCCTGATGCTGGTTAAGATTGAAGGCAGGAGAAGGGGACAACAGAGGATGAGATGGTTGGACTTGATGGACATGAGTTTAAGCAAGGTCTGGGAGTTAGTGATGAACAGGGAATCCTGGTATGCTGCAGTCCATGGGGTCACAAATAGTCGTACAAGACTGAGCGACTGAACTGAACTGAACTGATTCAAGGTATAGATCCAAAGAAATATTTGCACACTCATGTTCATAACAACATTATTCACTATAGCCGAAAGATGGAAAGAAAATAATTCAACAGATGAATGGATAAACAAAATGATACATGCATACAATGGAGTATTATTCAGCCTTAAAGAACAGGGAATTCTGACACATGCTACAATATGAGTGAATCTTGAGGACATTATGCTAAGTGAAATAAGCCAGCCACAAAAGGACAAATATTGTATGATTCCACTTACCTGAGGTATCTAAAGTAATCAAATTCATAGGGACAGAAAGTAGAATGGTGGTTGGCTGGAGGGGGAAGGGACAGTGGGTGATAGGGAGTTACTGTTTGATGGTACAGAACTTCTGTTTGTGAACATGAGAAAGTTCTGGAAATGACTGGTAGGGATGCTTGCATGACACTGTGAATATACCTAATGCCACTGATCTGTACCCTTAACAAGGTTCAAATGGTAAATTTTGTGTTATGTATAGTTTACCATGAATAAAAAATACATAAGATTACAAAGCAAAAAATAATTCACTGAAATACAGATATCAAAGAAATTTTAGATAGCTGTGTGATATAGTCATATATATATGACTTCCCTGATGGCTCAGTGGTAAAGAATCTGCCTGTAATGCAGAAGCCACAGGAGATGCAGGTTTGATCCCTGGGTTAGGAAGATCCCTGGAGAAGGGAATGGTAGCCCATTCCAGTACTCTTGCCTAGAGAATCCCATGGACAGAGGAGCCTGGTGGGTTACGGTTCATAGGGTCACAAAGAGTCAGACACAACTGAAGTGACTTAGCGCACAGCACACACACACACACTTCTTTATGAATGCATAACATAACCCGTCCTAACAGAACGTCTAGTAACTACCTGCCTGTGACATAATAAGAAATATATATATATATATATATATATATTCAGTCTCTGCCCACAGTTCCTGACACAGAATTCCTAAGTTCCTTGGAATTTCCTGAGTGATAGAAGCATCTTTTGTTCTAATGAGGGACTCTTGGTGAGCTCCTGGTTAGCTTCAGGATGGGGGCTGGTCACCAGATTGGAAGTTTGGAACTTTTTTTCTTTTTTGACCACGCTGCTTGACTTGGTGGGATTTTAGTTCTCCAACTAAAAGGATTGAACCAGGGGCCTCTGCCGTGAGAGCTCGGACCTCCAGGGAATTCCCTAGAAGCTTGGAACTTTGAATCCTATCCTCTGTCTGGCAGGAAGGGGAGCAGGGCTGGAGATTGAGTTAATAATCATGAGGATGCCTCCATAAAAATCTCTAAAGTATAGGGTTCAGAATGGTGAGCACATCCACCTGAGGGGAGGGTGGTGCACCCCAACGCCCTGAGGACAAGTTCCTGGACTCAGTCCCTTCAGACCTCACTCTTCATATGGCTGTTCATCTCTGCGCTTTATAATGTCCTTTATGATAAACTGGTAGGCATAAGTAAATGTTTCTGGGTTTGGTGAGCCACTGTAGGAAATTATCCAATCTGAGGTGGGGTATGTGGGACCCTTAGTTTTGCAGCCAAGTTGAACAGAAGTGTGGTACCACAGGGACCCATGACTGTGACTGAATCTGAACTGAAGGAAGGGCTGTGGGACCAAGGTCTTAAAGCTGTGGAGTCTGACAATAACTCCAGATAGATAGCCTCAGAATTGAATGCAATCGTAGGCACCCAGTTTGTGTCCAGAGAGTCACAAAACTGATGTGCAGAAAAAACCCACATGTTTGGTGTCAGAGTGTGCTGAGTAAAGAAACCGTTTTCTTTTACTACCACAATGACAGAGAAGGGATGAGTGTAAATATTTTCAAAATATCTTCAACCAGGTAAGGTGAGAAAGTCACAGATATTGCCAATTCTTGTGAATGTGTTGGCTGCATTCATAATGGAAGGAAATGTTAAATTTCTGTTGACCTTAGTGTAAGTAAAGGGAGTTTTTTCCCATCCAGGTTTCTAGAGTCCTTCAGTTTTGTCTCCCTGAATTTTTATATCTGCTGACTTCTAAGGAGTCCCCACGCCCCTGGTTAAGAATTTCTGAGGGCTGTGTATAAGAAGTGTGACCTTAAATGACTGTGTGCTTATTTACAAGGCTCGTCACTGCAGCACTGGGAGAGACCAAGAACAACTTAAATGTTCATTAATAGGGAACTGGACAAGTACGTTTTGGTGCATTCTAAAGCACAGCCATAGAAACAATCGAGACTGCTCTCTATGTACCCGTATAGGAGGATCCCCTTTTGAAAAAAGCCAAAGAATAAGGAGAAAGAATCTGCATAGATATTTCTTTATATGGACTATCTCTGGAAGAGTCCATTTGAAAATGGTCACTTTGCTTGCTTCCTAGACAGAGAGAGGAGCTGGGTTCAAGAGTAAGAGAGGGTGTTTCCTGCATGTCTTTTTATATGCTTAAAGTACTGAACTATGTAAATATATGTAAATATATCACCTATTATAAATTAAATGTAAAATGTAAATGTTTGTAGTATGCTGGACCTGCTGGGATGCCTCGAGTTGTCTGTCCTTACTCAGTTTCTTTGTGAGAAAAGCATATGGTGCCTTACAAGTCTGTCAGCTAGCCTTAGATCACGTGACCTTCCTCCTGATGGGCCCAATAGGGGAGCTTCCTGGTCAAGTCTTTTCTCTTTGAAAGACTTTGTATTTGAGACACATGGAAGTATCAGTGAGTAGAAGCACAATAAAATCTCAATTGATCTTAGTTTTTATTTTCCTGAGCATTATCCTCCAAAGGAAGGAGGAAAATATAATAAAAGTATCCCCCCATTCCTCCTCAGAATTGTAGATAAGGGAAACATGAAGCTGGAAAAGGTTAAGGGCATTCTGATGACTGATCCAGGACTGTTATTCCACAGCTGGGCATTTTTACTTCCCTACAGTCTTAAAGCCAAAACTGGCACCTGGTGAGGACTATTTCCTCTGGATAACAGGAAGAAACTAGGATTTCCCAACAACGCAGAGCAGGGCTCAAGGAGGCTCTTTGGGACCTATGCTTAGGCAGGAGGTCACCAGAATGTTTAAAAACAAACAAACAAACAAAAAAAAACACAGCTGCTCTTGAAGTAGAAATGCGAGGAAGCAGAAGGGCTCTCATGCTCAATTCAGGGAACCCAAGAGTGAAAAGATTTGTAGAGTCAAAGGTTTATCGATTTACATATTGACAGACCTTGGTAACTCCATACATTTTTACCAATGTTACATAGACTCCTTTAACTTTTACTGATTCACTAACTCATATTGTTACTATTTGATGCCTGGGAGTATGGGAATCCATTCCCATATATCTCATGAGGCTCTCCTAGGGGAACTAGACAGCAGGTGGATCTATTCTCAGAAAACCATCCCTGATTTTTGTTTCTTTTTATAGTTTCTATAAATGCACTCTAGTGCATATATAGTGTTCTTACTCTGTGCCAGACACTGTTCTAGGTGATTTGTATGTTTTAACCCATTTAACACTCACATCTACCCATCTCCATTTTACAGATGAGAAAGCGAGGGAGGAGGTTCAGAGCCTCACCTAAACGTCTCAGGGCTAGCACTTGAGGAGCTGGTGTTTGAATCTGGACAGTCTGGCTCCAGAGCCACGTGGTTTTGTCTGGCCTCTTAAAGTAACCTGCCTTTGCTGTCAGGGTGATTCTGCCTGCCTGGTCGTGGGCTGGCCACTGCCTGTCTCCCTGCAGGCTGCCTGGTCCCCTGGCCCCGCCTCTTGTCCTTCTACCTTGATCCTTGTAGGAGGTAATGAATATAAAGCGCGGTTCTGACTTTGACCACCTCTGTTCACCTCTGGTCCCCTCCAGCGTCTTCACTAACTAACCTCCCACTCCCATACCATTACACCTGCACCGCACCCAAGGCTAGGGACTGGCTTTAGTGGGTTCTGCGGTCCTCGTGGCTGTGTGGCTGGGGCCTGATCATCCCTCCGCTCTGGGAAGGGCCAGGAAACGCGGAGTGGAAAGGCTGGGGGGTGCAGCCTGAGTTCCCCTGGCCTGGCTATGCTCACTGCCGCCCTCTAGTGGCAGCTAGAGGAGCTGAGCGGACCAAAGCCAGGGCCAGTTCGATCGAGAGCCGGCTTGGCTACAATGGTTGTTGTGTGAGGGACACCATGAAGTCAGAGATAGGCAGGGACAGGCTGGAGACCCAGGCCCCTCTTCCCTGCTCGTCCTCTCATCCTGCTGTGAGCTCTTGTCTCTCTCCTGGCCAGATCCCCCACCCCAGAGAAGCACAGAGTGAGGGGTGGAACGATTTTAGGGCATGTGCTACCCCATCCCACTCGATGTGTTACATACAGGGTCTTCACGTGCTGGCCCCTCTTTAAGGGGCTGACACCCAAGAGGAAAACTTTTCCCGGGATGGTCCGTGTAGTCAGGAGGCTTATTCTTTGGCACCTCACCTCTCAGGCCTTGGTTCTGCAGCGGATCAGCCAGAGCAAAATTCTAGGAAGAGAGAAACCACAAACAGTGAAAAATAATGGCCACTCCTACGTCCGCATAATCTAGAGGCTCAGACAATCTAGGCCTCCCGACCCTGTTTCTCTGCTGTGCGTCTGCCCCATCCCCCACCCCCACCGCTGCACCCCCCCTNTGAGTTGGTCTCCCTAGTCTTCCTGGCACCACACGCTTCACCACAGAACATCCTGTGGTGGTAACCAGTGCCAGGAAAAGTGAAAGTGTTAGTCACTCAG